CCCACCAGCCACTTATGATGTTTCCATCTGTGTATAAATTTTGAAGTTTAGATTCTTGAATTGGAAATCAACCTTCCAGAGTTGTGTCCACCAGTCAGAGAAGACCTTGGCTGTCTACTGGTACTGCGGAAAGGCTGAAGAACAGCTTTACCTGCCTGGGAGCAGAGGGCTGGCTTCTGGACAACGACAGAGGCTTTTCTCTGTGAGCCCTCAACAGGGACAGCCTCACCTAGCTTCCTGTATAGTGTGAGCTCTGTGCGGCAACGGCTGTTGCTCATCTTCTCCTCTATGGCTCCAACCCTTGCCAACTGTTCCTGGCGTATAGTAGGTGCTCAATAAATATTTGTGGAATAAATGAATGGATTAGCCTCCTGCTTTGTCTGTCCAGTTCCTGGAATTCCACTTCTGAGGATATTACTTTTTTGTTCTCTGGGTGGACTGCTCCTTCATAGAATCTCCTGTGGGTGTGTGGGGCTGTCTGTCATAGACAGCACTCTTTCTAGCTACAGAGTCCATGAGTGACCTAAGGCTGGTCAGCCTGGAATTCTTCATCAGGATTTGAAAAATTGGATTAAAGGGATGATAGTTCCTTTCTGGTAGGAGAAAACAAAGATGCAAGATGGAGGAACTATAGTAGGTCACTTTTCCTTCCAAATGCACACAGCTGGCCTGAAAGAACAAAATCAACAGGTAGAGGCGGGAGATGGGCAGAGAGAGTCCTAATGGGGTTTGAGTCCCTGGCCTAGTGAACTGAGTTTGTGTTACCAGAATCCTATTACAATAGAGGTGGGAAAGCCTTCCAGGAGAAAGAGATATCTAAGCTGTGAATAAGTAGGAGTTTGAAATTTCCAAGGTGAGAGCTAGTAGAATATATGTGAAGAATTCAAAGTCTCTTCTATTGTTCAGCAACAAACACCATTTAAAAAAGACACAATGGGGCCCCTGGAGAGCTCGGTTGAGTATTTGACTCATGGTTTCAGCTCACGTCATGATCTCATGGTTCATGGGTTCAAGCCCCACATTGGGCTGTCTGCTGTCAGCATGGAGCCTGCTTTGGATCCTCTGTCCCCCTCTCTATCTGTCCCTGCCCCACTCACATGTGCATGATTTCTCTCTCACTCTCTCTCAAAAAAAAAAAAATTAAGACACAGTGCAGGAGAAGATATCTCTGATAAACATACTGACAATGGACTTGTATCCACAATATATAAAGAACTTCTATAATCCAATAAGAAAAAGACAGGCAACCTATTTTTTTTGTTAAGTTGGAAAAAGACCTGGGTAGGCACTTCACAAAAGAGAACATCTATGTACTCAACAAGCATATGAAAGTTGCTTAAATTCATTAGTCTTCAGCAAAGGCTATTTTATTTATTTATTAAAAATTTTTTTTCTTAATGTTTTATTTATTTATGAGAGAGACAGTGTGAGCAGGGGAGGGTCAGAGAGAGAAGGAGACACAGAATCTGAAACAGGCTTCAGGCTCTGAGCTAGCTGTCAGCACAGAGCCCGATATGGGGCTCGAACCCACGAACCGTGAGATCATGACCTGAGCTGAAGTCAGATGCCCAACTGACTGAGCCACCCAGGTGCCCCAGCAAAGGCTATTTTAAAACCATGATGAAGGCCACCTGGGTGGCTCAGTTGGTTGAGAAGGCCACCTGGGTGGCTCAGTTGGTTGAGCGTCCAATTCTTGATTTCTACTCAGGTCATGATCCCACCGTTCACGGGGTTGGGCCCCACATTGGGCTCCACACTGACAGCATGGAGCCTGCTTAGGATTCTATCTCTCCCTCTCTCTCTGCTCCTCTTCAACTCACATTCTCCCTCACACACATACACACACTCTCTCTCAAAATAAATACATAAACTTAAAAAAAAAAAACCCACAATGAGATCCCTCCAGAGAACCACCAAAATGTGTAAAACTAACAGCATCAACACTGGCAAGGGTTGGTGAGAATGTAGAGTATAAGGAAATCTCAGACATTACTAGTGCGAGTTTTAGTTGGTATATATTGGTAGCCTGGTGGCCCTGGTGACACACTGTTCAGATCTCCCTTCAAGAGAACCTGCTGCAAGGAGGTTAGTTGGTCAATAGCTCCAACTGCCATACCTTTGGAGCAACCCCAGTGTTCATGCTGAGGCCATGCTTTTTCCAGGCTGCTCCTGGCCAGTGATTGTGGATGGCAGAGGTCCTAGTTCAGGCCATCCTGCCTTGCAAACAGCTCCTATGATAGACAGTCTGTACACTGGGCTCCCTGTCAGCCTGGCTGAGACTGTGGAGCTTTCACAGTGGTCAGATCTGCCCTGTGGTCTGGAGGTTCCCTGTGTCTATTCTTCCTCCCTCTCTCCTTTATCCTTCACAGGCAAGTCCCCCTGGAAATGTCTTGCATACCTAATTCTACCTTGGCATCTTCTTTATGGAAGACCTGAATTGACAGAGGCAGCAATTACTAATTCTGTCTGACTCTAATCCCACTCCTGGGGTTATTACCAGTAGAAATGAATGCTTATGTCCACCAAAAATGGATGTTTACAGAATGTTCCTAGTAACTTCATTCATAACAGCTAAAACAGGATAAACGTCTATCAACAGTGGAGAGAATGGATAAATAAAATTATGGTTATTCATGTAATAGACTATAACACAACAATGAAAAATAATAATAGCTATGTGCAATAACATAGATCAACCTCATAGACATGATGATGAGTGAAAGAAGCCAGATAATCAACAGATCTCATCAAGTCAGAAAGGAATACAGAAGGAGAGACATTGTAGGAGAGCGAGTCCACTCAGCTTTATGGAAACTACTAGAGAGTTAGAGTAGTGATCTTTTTGAGCACTGTGGTAGACAGCCTTTAAGATAAACTCCCAGTGATGCCCTCTCCTGGTTTCCATGTTTTTGTGTAATGCCTTCCCTTTCAGTGCAGACTGGACCTAGGGACTAGCTCTTATTTTTTTTTTTTTTTTACCCCATAGCTTTATTAAGATATGATTGACATATAACATTGTGCAAGTTTAAAGTGTACATGATGATTTGATCATTTTGAGATCCAATTGATTGTGAGATGGCCACCACAATGAGGTTAATGCATCCATCACTTCACATAATTTGTGTGTGTTATGTGGTAAGAACATTTAAGATTTACTCTCTTAGCAACTTCCAAGTATATAACACAGTATTATTAGCTACATTTACCATGTGGCACTTGGCACTTTGATCCCCAGAACTTATTCATCTTATAATTGGAAGTTTGTATCCTTTGATCAACATCTCCCCATTTCCCATAACCTCTGGCCCCTGTCCATCACCAATCTACTATCTGTTTCTGAGTTTGGCTTTTTAAGATTCTACATACATGGGAGATCATATAGTATTTGTCTTTCTCTGACTTATTTCACTTACCACAAGGTCTGCAAGATTCATCAGTGTTGTCTCAAATGATAGGATTTCCTTTTTGTTTTTTATGGCCAAATAATATTTCATTGTATGTATAATACCACATTGTCTTTATTCATCTCTGATGGACACTTGGGTTGTGGACTAGCTTCTAAGTAATAGAATGAGTAAGTGATGGGCTGTCTCTTCTGAAATTAACAACAAAGAATGTGACTTCCATCTCCCTCTCTTATCCCTTGCTTTAGGGGAAGATAACAGCTTTTATGGAGAGGTATACGTGGCTAGGAACTAATGAAGAACTTGAGGCCTGTGAGTGGCATTTGAGTGAGCCTGAAAGAGGGTTTTCCAACTCTGAGAACCCTGCAGCCCTCACAAATTGAATGTGTGACACCCTGAGCCAGAGGACCCAGCAAAGTGGGACCCACATCCCTGACCCACAGAAATCGTGAGAAAATAAGGGATTTTCATTTTAAGCTGCTAACATTGGGGTAATCTGTTACCAACAAGGACATTGCTTGTTACTCAAAATCACAACATAAAGCTCCTGAAATCTCTGTGAGCTGAAACCAGGGAAAAGCTGGCCATCCCCAAGAATGGTGTTTCTTTCTTCTTAGAGACGGTGAGAATCACACACATGTGTTTTCCTTTTAGTTGTGACCACCAGGAAGGTCAGAGACAAATTTATGGTTCAGTCTTAATAAGTATGCAAGACCCTATGGCCTGCTTATCGGTGCTCTTACTCCTGGTCTTTCCTTTTATTCTGACTTGTCTTTTGCTTTTTCCTGGTTTGTTAGTCCGTTTTTAGATTTTTCTATATTACATTAATTATGTTAAACCATCTCTTGTTCGATTTACAGAGACGCAAGGCGTTATAAATAAATCTGTTTTTTCATAAATAATTTTAAAAAATATTTAAGTTTGCACCTGTTGAACACGGAGGTGCTTGGAGGTTGTGGGGAGTGTCAGGTAATGGAAGCTTGGCTCTGGAACTCTAGGCATCGGCCAGGGTTAATCTGGTTTGGGTCACAAAATATCAAATGATAAGAACAAAAAAGGGAAAAAGGATGGAAATTGATCACCACTCCCCAGGGGGAGGGGCCAAGTGCTTTCTCAGTCACAGGTGAAATTTATTATTTGTTGCACCCAGTCAGTCCCCCCCCCCAAGGCCCTGAGGCATCTCACCGCCCCACCTCACTCCTCCCTTCACGATCCCTCCCCTCTTACCTCACGACTCCTCCCCTTCCCTCCCCTCCCCTTCCTTTACCTCCCGGAGCCCCGCCCCCTCCTTCCCTCTGACCACGCCCCCTCCCTCTGCCCCGCCCGCTGCGCGCGCCGCGCCGCCTCTGTCTCCGCCTGCCGGCCCGGCCTCCCGACGGTTGCGCGCTCCGCCCCTCCCTCCGCGCCCGCGCGCGCCTTCCCCGCCCCGCCGGGCTCTCTCCTTTCGGGGCGGTTGGGCCGCGCGCCTGTGGGGGCGGGGCCCAGAGGAGGCGGTCGAGCCAATGGGGCGCGGCGGCGGCGGCGGCGGTGGCGGCGGCGGCGGAGGCGGCGGTGGTAGCGGCGGCGGCTGGGTCGGGCCCCGACGGGCGGCGGCGGCTGAGGTGGAGGCGGAGGGAGGCGGCGGCGGCGGCGGCGGCGAAGGAGGCGGCGGCGGCGGAGGGGGGAAGATGGCGGCGCCCGTCCTGCTGAGAGTGTCGGTGCCGCGGTGGGAGCGGGTGGCCCGGTATGCAGTGTGCGCCGCCGGGATCCTGCTCTCCATCTACGCCTACCACGTGGAGCGGGAGAAGGAGCGGGACCCCGAGCACCGGGCCCTCTGCGACCTAGGGCCCTGGGTGAAATGCTCCGCCGCCCTTGCCTCCAGGTAGCCCGGTTGGGGGGAGCGGGCCGGGAGCGGCCGAGCGGGGTGAGGGCGGAGGCTGGGGGTGGGGAGCGCGCGGCGGGAGCTCGGGCCTGGGGGGCGGCGGGGACCGGGCCGCGGAGGGACGGACGGTGCTGCGAGCCTGGCCAGGGACGGGGGCGGCGGCAGGGGGCTCTGGCCCGGGGGGCGGCCCGAGTCCAGGCTCCCGGGGGTGGAGGTGGCGGGGCCGCGAGACCGACGAGGAGGGATGAGGTGGCAGAGTGCAGCCGGGAGGCCGGAGCGGACCGGGAGCAGTTGGGCAGTGGGGCCGGGCTGGGAAGGAGCGAGAGGGGTTCGCGGAGGGTGGGTCCCGGCCGGCTTGACAGATTTCCTGGTTCTCGCCGGGGAAGGCGGGTCGGGAGTGTGGGACCCTGCCGAGGGAGCGGTGAGGTCAGTGTCCACCCCTCGTCCCGGCTCGCTGCAGCCGGAGGCTGTGCGGCCGGCGTGGGCTTGGGGGGTTGCATTTCCCACTGTCTTCTCGGTGCTAGGACAGGTGTTTCTGTGGTCGGGCCTCTTTGTACTCTCTAGCGCTAATGAGAATTTGCAGACTTCTTGAGACGGTGACATTTGCAGGCAAACACGAATTTGACCCTACTCTGGAAGAAGATACCGGTACTTAACATACCTGATTTCTTGGATTCCCCCTCGTATATTTCAGTGTGCCTGAGAGGGGAAATTGGCCTGAGTTTGGGTCTAGTTTAAGCTTCATTTGAGTAAAAGGGAGTATGTCATGTGTAGTGGTAATGTTTGGGGCATTTGGTGACTTTTAAACGTTGTTGATTAGTATAAGGGGATACCCATAGAAGGTTAAAAATACACGCGTTTTCTAAGTGGAGGGATTGTTTTTTGTTTTTTGTTTTCTTACTGATAACTTTAGGTTTTTAAAAATGTAGTGATTTATCTGTTATATTCTATTTTCTGCATTAGATTTTCCAAGGCAAGTTACTTTGGAAAAAAAGAGGAATTTACATCTTAAAGTGGCTGCTTTTTTTTTTTTTTAAATTAGTGAGGAGGGTTCATTAAAAGTAGCAAAAGTGAAAAATGATTTCAGAATTGATAGGTTACAGTTTTTATAAAGACATACAATGCTTAGTATTTGCATTTCTTAACAGTAGTCCTGTTTGAGCAGTTTCTTGCCCTCCTGTTGATCTGTAATTGCTAGGTAGATAGTAATGTAGAGCTCACTAGTTTATTTTGACCTACATATTGGTGATTACATGAAGGAGCAAGCACTGGAGTTTGTCTTGTTACTGTTTACAAACTATAGGCTGCCAGTCTTTTCCACGTAGACAGCTCTATCCCGTTTGCCCTTAAAATCCTGTTGCGTTAGTGGGGAAAATAGTCATCATTATTGCTACATTAAACACAATGCGTTTAAAATGTAGATATTAGTTAACAGTTAAAATATATCAATGTGACAAAAAGCTAACATTTTTGATTGGGTATTTTGAGCCAAGTTAATAGGCTTAATAGACTCAGCGTCCCTTTGAGAGCCACTGAGTGTATTTTATGCAAACATTTTTATGTTCTTTTCACTTCCATTGGAAAGGACTTTTACACTTAAAAGTAGCTTGCACCCAGAGTTAGTTGAATAAATACATAGTGAAAAGACTATCCAGCAATATATTTCAAGTAATTTTTAAAAAGAAGAAATAAAAATAACTTTTGATATTAGATTAGCATGAGTTTAGGCAGAATTATTACCGGTTTTAGATTTTGAAAACACTGTAGTCTATAATAAATTTAACTGGGCCTTTTAACATGTGGGCGTGGAAAGAGTGCTTTATGTTATCCAAACTGTATGGTTAAGTTCTTAAAATTGATTTTCCTTCGAGAAGGCATGTTTTAAACCATGTAATATGTATAGACTCTACGTATTTTCTGTTACATATCCTATAAGTTCTAGGTTTTTGTGCTTTAAAAATTTTTTTTAATAAAGCACCATAAAGTAATATAAATAACATCAAATAGCATATTAAATGTATATGTAAGTATACCAAGTATATATAAGTAAGACTAAAAATAACTGGATCTTAAACCAGAGTTTAAAAAAATTTTTTTTAAATGTTTTATTTGTTTTTGAGAGCGAGAGAGAGAGAGAGAGAGAGAGAATGAGAATAGTGGGGAGGGCCAGACAGAGAGACAGAGGCACACAAAATTTGAAGCAGGCTGCTGGCTCAGGGCTGTCAGCACAGAGCTAACTTGAGGCTCGAACTCACTAACTGTGAGATCATGACCTGAGCCAAATTCGATGTTTGACCAACTGAGCCACCCCTGGTGCCCCTAGAACTGGAGTTTTAAATGTGAATTTAATGTTGTGACTGCAGCTAACTTTTAGTTACATAAAATATTTTAAATTTGATCCTTGCTTAAAGAGGGTAGGTAAGAAATAAAACATGACTAACAAAAGGAATAAATAGCTTATTTGCCTTACAAATATAATTATATATATACATATACTGTGTGTGTGTGTGTGTGTGTGTGTGTGAGTGAGTGAGATGGAGATAACAGAAATTTGGAAGTTAAAGTGGCTTGAGTCTGATTTATAGACCAAAAAAAATTTTTTTGGATGTAGATAGAATAAACATCGTTAAAAGTTTTTATGTCTTCAGAAAGGCTTTGAATAAAATCGGTTTGGAGACCTCAAGTAATTCTTTTTTATTTGTCTGAAGTATTGATTGCCACTTAGTAGAAGTATTAAAAATGTGACTATTTTGGGAAAAGAAAGTCTGAGCCCATGTTAGAGTGAGTCAAATTGCAGATGAAAGATGAGAAAAGTTACCTGATGAAAAGAATCCTGAGGAAGGCCCCCACCCCCCACCCCAGTGTTAACTCATGTGACTTTGGATTGCTAAAACCCACTTTGTTCTCATTTCTCAATCCTTCAGTGTCTTAATCAAAACAGAATAGAGATTAAAGAGAGAATTTTAGGTGGAGTTGTGTGTTTGTAAAGTCCTCTAGTATTTAGGAAGGTATCATTGTCTTAAGGGAACAGTTTCCAGACTTTGAATTCCAAAAGAAATTATTGGGGCACCTGGATGGTTCAGTTGGTTGAGCATCTGACTCTTGATTTTATCTTGGGTCATGATCCCAGAGTCATGGGATCAAGCCCTGCTTCAGGCTCTGTGCTGAGCATGGAGCCTGCTTAAGATTCTCTCTCTCTCCCCTGCCCGCTCCTTCTCTCTCCTTTCTCTCTCCCCTTTCCCTTTCTCTCTCTCCCTCTCCCCCTTCCTCTCCCCTTCCCTCTCTCCCTCTGCCCCTCACCCCTGAGTGTGCTCTCTTTCTCAAATAAAAATTAAAAGAAAAGAAAAGGACACCTAAGTGGCTCGGTTGGGCGTCCGACTCTTGGTTTTGGGTCAGGTCATGATCTTGAGGTTTCGTGGGTTCAAGCCCCCACATGGGGCTCTGCGCTGGCAGCACAGAGCCTGCTTGGGATCCTCTCTCTCTGCCTCTCCCCCACTCGCACTGTCACTATCTCTTGCCAAATAAATAAACTTAGAATTTTTTTTAAAAGAAGAATTATCCCCCCCTCCCCCATTGGGTGCAGTGGAAGTTACCAATTTTTTTGGGTTTTTTTGTTTTGCCAGGTGTAACCAATAAAAACAGCAGCATATCACTAGCTACTTTTACCATCATTTCATTTTTAAAAAAGGATATTTTAACTCAAATAATTTGAGAGGGCAGAATTTCAGAATAAAAGACCTCTAAATTGAATCATTTAGGGGCCCTTGGGTGGCTCTCGGTTGAATATTCACTCTTGATTTCTACTCTACTCGGAGCCCTGCGTTGGGCCCTGCTGAGTTTGCTTTAGATTCTCTCTCCCTCTGCCCCCTCCCGCACTTGCACCGTCTCTCTCTAAAATAAAATGAAATGAAATTGGGTCATTTAGCTTTATTAAAAAGTTTGCTTTATTATTATTTTTCCTCATTTTTACCTTTTTTTAAAAAATAAACTTCATTTTTATCTATTTATTTTTATTTCTGAGAGACGGAAAGACACAGCATGAGCAGGGGAGGGTCAGAGAGAGAGGGAGATACAGAATCCAAAGCAGGCTCCTGGCTCTGAGCTGTCAGCACAGAGCCCAACGCGGGTCTTGAACCCATGAACTGTGAGATCATGACCTGAGCCGAAGTGGGACGTTTAACCGACTGAGCCACCCAGGCGCCCCCACATTTTTATATAAATAAGTAAAAAGTGTTGCAAACCTGCACCAGCCTTGCAGCCAACATTAAGTAGCCCCTGTTTTATGCAAAGCTCAGGTCCAAAGATTCTGGGTGGGCTCCTACCTCTGTTGCTTGTTAGACTGTGGCCTCAAGCTGGTCACTTATCTTCAGGGAGCCTCCATTACTACTTATGTTAAATGGGGCTGTTAAAACCTGCTTTGCCAGAGAATGGTGGGATTGACGATGATATGAGGAATAAATACCTGGATGGTACCTGGAATAAATTATGTACTCAATTATGGCTGTTGCTGTTGATTGGAGATGTTACTTTTTTTTTTTTCCAGTATTTGATAATAGATGCTTTTAAGTAGTGTAAGTTTTTTGTTTAAGGTATAGTCATTTATGTATTTTAAATGTAAGTTATTTTACTTTATTGTTCACTCCAAGCCATAGTATAAAGACTTAAAGTCCATTTAAAGCAATTTCAGAAGTGTGGTAAGAGAAACAATATGATACGCAGAATATTCTTTATAGGTATTTTCTGCAAGTTACATTAGACCCCCTTCCAAGAAAGGGTTGTTTTTTTGTTGTTGTTGTTAAGAATAATACAAGTTATCTTTAAAGATTAATAGGCTCAACAACTCTACATTATTAAAAGCTGTAAAACAGTATTTGAAAGCTATCAAACTTCTCAAAAAGTTGCCTTCTTTTGCAAAAGGTTGTATTAGTACCTCTCATGGTAAAAAAAAGTAGTAGTGCCATTTCCTTACTACCCCTTTTGTTAAAATCTTACTTTTTTTT